ACCTCCAGATCTTAAAGTTTTATTTTTGGAAGATTTTGTAAAAATCTTGATTTCTTTCTTTTAAATCCGAATTAAACGATGAATATAATCATAGATTCATGAAATATAATCACTTTAGGATATAGAATACTTACCCAAGTCAAAGTCATGAAGAACTCCTCCAAAATCTCCCAGAAACCGAGCTCCAAAATCTCAAATCGAAAATGGCGAAGTGACCATTTTTGGTCCTAAATGTTCTACCCAGATTCCACTTCTGCGGACTAATTTCACGCACCTGCGAGCTCGCTTTTGCGAGAAATTTCTCGCTTCTGCGATGCCCACTGACCACTGACCTCTCGCACCTGCGGAGAAGTTCCGCTTCTGCGGTCTCGCAGGTGCGAGATAATTTTCGCACCCGCAACCACTGCCTAGGCCTGCTCCTTTCGCATCTGCGATTGCGCATCTGCGCTCCATTTCATTGCAGATGCGATGACACTAGTGGCAGAGTTCCAACAGCTCCTTCAAGTCCAAATTTTAGTCCGTTTAACCATTCGAAACTCGCCCGAGGCCCCCGGGACCTCAACCAATTATACCAACATGTCCCGAAATATAATACGAACTTAGTCGAGACTTCAAACCACATCAAATAACGCCGAAATTATGAATCACGCATCGAATCAAATTTTGAGTTTTCAAATCTCCCAACTTCTATATTTTGCGTCGAAACGTATCAAATCAATCCGGAATGACTTCAAATTTTGCACACAAGTCATAAATGACGTAATTGAGCTATTTCCATATCCGGAATGGAAATACGACCTCGTTATCCAAAAATTCATCCTTCGGTAGGATTTTGTCAAAAATCTTCTATTTTTCAACTTTCGCCAAAATGCGTCGAATTGTCCTACGGACTTCCAAATCCGAATCCGGACATACGCCGAAGTTCGAAATCGCCATACGAAGTTATTGGCATCATCAAAATTCTATTATGAGGTCATTTTCTCAAAGTCAACTTCTGGTCAACTTTTTCCATTTAAGCTTCAAAATGAGAATTTTTCTTTAAATTAAATTCCGAATCTTCCGAAAATCAAACTCGACCACACACGCGGGTCACAATACATATTGCGAAGCTTCTCGAGACTTTAAGTCACTGAACGGGGCGTAATTTCTTAAAACGACAAGTCGGGTCGTTACAAAAACTTCACTCAATTTTAAATTCTTAAATATTAAGAGTTTTGACATTGTTCAACTAAGGAATAATTTAATAACCATAATTTTAGTTGACTTCAAAATCCTAAAATTTTAGGAAAATATTTAAATGACTATTTTGTCTAGTTTGAAATCAAATTTTAAAGGGTAAAAAGGTAAACGATATTTCACTAAGGAGTTTCGTACTTTTAATATAGTATAGATATAGATAGATGAACTAAGGCAAAATAAATTAAATTAATAAGAGAATTATATATATATATATATATATATATATATATAGATATAGAGAGAGAGAGAGAGAGAGAGAGAGAGAGAGAGAGAGAGAGAGTCAAACTAGAATTTATGTCTATGCTCTTGTCTATTTGTGATGATCTTTTAAGTTGTTTGAAGAGGTATGTTGAATCTAAAGTAGTCGTACGATTCCTAGTAAAATTGTTGCTGCTACACCACTTGTTAATATTACTAATGCTATCATGCACGCTGATATAACATTTAATTTGTAGGCAATGCACAATATTGGAATGTTTATTCGATTTCTTTAGGGCCATCGATAAAGAATAAGCCCGCTCTTATTTACATCCAATTTTGTTTCTCCTTATTCCCATTTACTCTTTTGAGTTTCTATTTTATTTAGAAAGATTTAATAATATTTACGGCCTTGTTGTGTATGATTACAAGTATTGCGACTTTAATTTGTAGGCAATGCACAATATTGGAATGTTTATTCGATTTCTTTAGGGCCATCGATAAAGAATAAGCCCGCTCTTATTTACATCCAATTTTGTTTCTCCTTATTCCCATTTACTCTTTTGAGTTTCTATTTTATTTAGAAAGATTTAATAATATTTACGGCCTTGTTGTGTATGATTACAAGTATTGCGACTTTAATTTGTAGGCAATGCACAATATTGGAATGTTTATTCGATTTCTTTAGGGCCATCGATAAAGAATAAGCCCGCTCTTATTTACATCCAATTTTGTTTCTCCTTATTCCCATTTACTCTTTTGAGTTTCTATTTTATTTAGAAAGATTTAATAATATTTACGGCCTTGTTGTGTATGATTACAAGTATTGCGACTTTATCATATTTGGGATTAAATTAGCAATCTTGAAAAATATAAAGCATTACAGTTTATTTTTAACTTGTTCAAATATGATATAAAATAGCATTTGCTTGTCAACTTCATGCATCTCATTTGTTGAGAATTTACTAGTTGTCATTTTCTAATATCGTTATTTTTATGGGATTGTAATGATTTTGTACGTCGTTTTTAGTTCTAACTCTCTGTTTCATAATTTGAGGCCTTGAATAGATTCGTTTGATATTTTATGACTTGTATATATAGTTCGTTATGATTTCTTAAAACTTTAGATGTGTTTTGGAAGAGAAATTCTAATTCTAGAGTTTTGGTATTGTTCGAGTTAACCACAACCAATATTCTTGATAAATGATCTCGGACCGGTATTCTGATGATTCTGACATATTCGTATGATAATTATGGATTTCTACGTATTTTTGTTTGGGTCCCAGGTGATTCGAGGCCATTTCAGAACTTCGAAATTTTGTTTTGATGTTTGATTTTTAGTTTCATGTTAGGTATAATGACTTGTTAGGATAATTAGATTAGGTCCCAAGTGGTTCGGGTGAATTTTGGAATGGTTTCGAACAATTTCAGAAAGTTGTCCGTTGTTGATCTTACTATTATCGCATTTCCAATGACATGTTCGCAAATACGAGATTGCATTTGCGAATGACATCTTGCATTTGCAAGAGGGGGGGGGGGGGGGCTCATAATGTCCATTTGCGATGTTGAGGGATTGAAATAAATAGTTTTGCTTTAAAGTTCTTTTTTTGTGTGTGCTTCAATCTTGGGATTGAAATTATTGTCTTGTCTACGTTCTTATTGTTAGAAGATAATTCTTATATCTCAAAGATAAAATATAACATATTCATTATCATTTCCTACCCACGATTAATAGCCATTATTATAATATTATAACTGACCTTTTATTAACATTCATACCAAACCATCATTGATTAGCTATTAATGGCTTTTGAATTCTTGTTCAAATTATCATTATCCGTTAGTAATAGCCTTGAATGGCTTTGGAAGTTACAAAACGTTAAGCTGTATTTTGTAACATCTATTCTTATTAATTCTTTAGTTTTTAATGCTATACGTTGGAGCATTTTAGCTAGCCATCTGATGAGATGGTTGTTCTTATCTATAAATTCCCAAGTTCTTTTGTTTTTCAAGAGTGAGGAAAAAACTAAGAGTAAAATTTTTTGTTATATATATATTTTTCAGTGCTGAGTTTTATTTTGTTAATCTTTGTTGTTTCTGCTCCTAGTTATACTAGAAGTGTCACGACCCAAAATCCAAAAAAAAGTCGTGATGGCGTCGGACTCCACTGTCAGGCAAGCCAACCATAATCAACTAACTTAATTACCCATTTTAGTATTTTTGAAATAAGAATTTCTTTAATAAAATTGTAGAGCTAAAACTCAGAATAAATGATAAATATTTTTGCAGCTAAATTTCTAAACAATTCACAACCATTCCCAAAACCCGGTATCACAAGTGCATGAGCATTTACTAGGGAATTAAAATAAAATACAGCATCTGTCCAGAATACAAATTAGACAGGAAAATATAATAACTCTGAAGGAGATTCTGTTAGCTGCGGATCGTAATATAGAATGCAGCTCACTTATGTCCCCACAATTATTAGCAACACCTCTGCGCCCATAAGGTCGCTATACATATATGTACCTACACAATAAAATGTGCAGCAAGTGCAGTATGAGTACGAAAATAACGTNCCGACTATGACACTCACTATGTGTCAATAATATTAAATAATCATGAAAATAGAAATATTTATATCAACGTGATTCACATAATTAACAATAATTTATTGAACCAGCAGAAGTAATTAAATTCCTTCAATTCCAATAATTCTCAATATATTAATTAAATTCCTTCAATTCAAATAATTTCTAATCTATTAATTAAATCCTTCAATTTCAATAAAAATTTCAGTTTATCAAATAGTTTTACCAGCTGCAATTCAATTTCAATAAATTTTGAATTNAAAATGCTCATACGCCACCAACAAATTGGTATCTACAATTACAATCCCAATTACAATCAAAATACGATTCAAAATTTTTTATCAATATCCATTTACGGCTCTCAAGTTGACTACAAGCCTCAAGCTCAAATAGTCTAATAGGTTCACTTACTAGCACATTCAGCTCCACTCTTATCATTCAATACCCATTTGAAGTCATCAATGATACTACATAAATTCTCCAACACCGCCAAATTATTATTCATCGTCACTACAAAAAAATGCTGAATTTGCGAAGGTTTTAGTTACATATTGCGGTGGTCAGAAACCTCCGCAATATACTTTTACGACGGTTTTCAAAACCCCCGCAATAATGTTCGCCGCAACCAATTTGCGAAGTTTTTTTGACAGACCGCCGTTATCATATAGTGGCGGGTATTTGACGGTGGTATAACCTCCGCAATTTGGTAGTTTGGCAATCACTTATTAAAATAATAGCGGAGGTCTAAACCCCCGCAATATCTTTATTTAACCCCACAAATTTATAACACAATATTATTACAGGTTAAATAGCAGCAGTTATAACCTGCGCTATTCATTGAATATTTTTTTTCCTGCAATGTTACTCCATAACTGTTCCAATTTCAATTATATTAATATAATGAAGCATCAATAAATTATATAAATTGCTTACTGGAATCATGTAACATCAATATATTAATAAACCACAAAATACACTAAAGTAAATTATCATTAGTCTCAAAAATTTACTTAAACACAATTACTCCAACCATTAAACACAAAACATCAATATTATAATTAGTCTTAAAACTAACTTTATACAGAACATCCACTCCAACCATTATGGACAAAAGATCTACTATGACCATTCAATCGAGTGCAATGCTTAATTATCTAATACATTTGCAAGCAACTTCAATGGTTGTCGTTAGGATTACTTTCATCTGATGATCTTATATCCATGGGTAAAATGGATCCGCTAGCCGCATCACTTGGCTAAAAAATAATCAAAATAAAATATAATTAACAAAAAGTACCTCAACAATAACCTAACTAATAATCACTTAGCTTCAGTCAAGTACCAGTAACTTATCTAAGCTATCGATTAGTCAAGTGAATATTTATGGCATAGAGTTAGGACACATCTAATGTTGTAAGGTATGTCAAACATCACATAGGACAAAAGTGTAAGTAAACTACAACCGGAGGTTGAAAACAGTGATTATTCTTAAATTTTATGTTGCCATACTTTTGTTTCATAAAGAAAACAACCTTAGATAGCCTGCAAGTCAAATAGCCAAATGTCTTCGGCTCAGAAGAGAAGCTTATCCGCAAAAGAGAAAAATAACAAGAGAAATTTGTGGTCATAGTACTGAATATTCAAGCAAAAGAAACAAATATTCTCTCTATGTCTCACCCAGTCCATGAAAAGGAGAACTCGTGAATTTTCTCTGTACATCTTAAACATCATAGAATATAGACGGTGAATTAACAGTGTTAACATAAAGTTATGCTAAAAGCTCTGCGAGTGAATATAGACAGTGAATTTAACATAAAGATTAAATTGACTTGCGAAGTTTGTGAATGTAAGAAACAAGAAAGCATTCTTCAGGTATCCCAATTTAGAGTAATACTTGGACTGATCAATCATACTTTACAAAATTAAATAAGAAAGTTATGAACTATTCTTACCGTTGAATTGAGGTACTGACTGAATTGAGTTCGGAAAGTTCTCGTAACGCTTGGGCTTCGGCATACCTGCAAGCAATAAAAGAAAAGCATTGGCTAAGACTTATAGTTATCATCTAATAGACTAAATAACAGTGCTGAAGAAACCAACTATCTAAAACATAAAAGGAGTCACATCTATGCATCTAAAACACATCATTATTCTATGCAAACCAAGCAAAATCTAAGAATTGAGAATTAGAACTAAAAAACAAAATAACATAATTAAGAAGGTAATAATTTGGACAAACAAACAAAAAAGAAACGGGAGAGGAAATGCAGAGCTTGTTCATATTTTATAAAGACAAACGAGAAGAAGCAGAAAGCTAAAAGAAAGAAAATCTACCTTATCAACAATAAAGATTTCTTCACCATTGACATCCACTTCAAGATCACAAGAAACATCCATTAAAGCCAAATAAAAACAACTTCTTATTCTCAAATAAGCATGAGAACAAATGGAAAAAATTCAGTTCTTGGTATTACAAAAAAGTGCTTAGTCAATTGGTTCAAAAGCAGAACTGAAAATAAAACTTTGAGAGACAAGAGTATAGGTGAAGCAAAGGAAAGAAAGGGTACATATATATAATGTATATAATATAAGGATAAAACAAAGAGAAAATCAGAACTTCAGTGAGTAAGGGAAATGCTTGTATGCTAAGACAAATAGAGTTATTGAGTGCCCACTAAACTATATCTGACAAAATCAACTTGATAAACTCAAACACAAACAAAAGAAGTATCAAAATGAGAATTCATGAGCTATAACTCCTTCATTCTCGTATATTTCTCCTTCATCAACCTCTCCCATATCAAACAAATCTCTTGGTTTTAAATGTACAGCCACACTCAAGCATTAAAGAAAGGAGGAAATCAGATCGTCAAATTATAAATAGGAGTAACGATAAGTATAAAATATTAGCTTTGCCGAACAACACATATACATAGGAACTAATTGTACACACACTCTTAATGACCAATGTTATAAGAATATTCAATTCTATAAGAATTAGTGACAAATATTATGGATATATTAGAAGCTTCTAATATATTCCTCATTTGAACAATGACAATAAATGGTAGAAGAAAAATAGCAAAATCCAATCCAATTGTTTGTAAACGATTAGTTAACATATCAAAATTTTGTAATAGCAAAGTAAGTTTTGTCAGATCTATTCTATATGTCAAGAGCATTCAATAGCGGAAAATGGTTCATTTTTTCTTTAATCATCTGGTTTTGAAGTTAACGATCTAACTAATTCAGATTTTCATTGTGCAAGATCATTGGTTATAAATAAATCCATGTTAACAATTGAATTGACTGCTCATATACCTCAAGACCAAAACAAAAATAGAGAATGAAGAAAGAAGAATTTCTTCCACAGAAGAAAAGGCATGAAGATGAAGTCAAATTGCCAAAGAAACATACCGTAGGAAACTGCAAATGTGATATATGTTAATAATGTTATGAACGATCACAACTAAAACAACTGCAATACGTATGTAATTACTTGTTAACCAAATCCCATAAACTGATAATATCAGTCTAATATATTCCTCATCACTTGACAAATAAAATAGAAAATATGTTATTGATTCACTAGCCTTTTGAAAGAAAGCAGAATTGACGTTCAGGCAACCTAATCTATTGTCTGCACGTTTTGTATTACAAATCTAGAAAGAAAAAAAAATTAATATTCAACACTACGAAGAAAACTAAAAATCTGTTTGTACCTTGAGATTGATTCAAACACCATGTAGAGCAGAAAGAGGAATAGCAGCTAGTGACAATTGCGTCTTCTCTGAAGGTCCTCGAGAGTTCTAAAATACACATGCAAGAGGAAATATTTCAATTAACTAGACCCAAAATCCCAGATATTAACCTACAAAAATACAGAAAAAGCTAAATTTTACAACCTAAAATACCTAATGCAGAAGGAGAAAGAAGACTTACATCTCGAATTCAAAAGAGAGTGTTATATCCTTCTTCAAAATACACCACCGATTCAACAAAAATTTCTATTACTCTCAGTAGAGAATCGTAAAACAGAAAAGCCACAAATTAGAGGAAAAATCAGTTAAGGGAAAACACAAATTAACAGAGGAAATAAACCTAAAACCCACATGCAAGAAGAAAGAAACACAGAAAAGCAAAATTAAAGAATGGGGAAGAGGAATTACCATAGATCTGAACCCACAATCAAACTCACCGTTGTGAATCTATTTCATAGAATGGGGAAGAAAGCAAAAAATTGCATCAGTGACGGTCCAAGCGTGAACCCAAGTAATTGAACCGTCAAAAAAGCTTTTAAATCTTTCATATTGTGGAGAACGTATTGTGAATTTTTCAAGTGAGGGTTTTAATTTTTCAAGTTAAAGAAAATGGAAGCTCTAAAGCTTCTCTTTTGGTGAAACCGAGGGAGGGGTTTGGGAAAAAAAGAGGGAATGGATAAAACAAAGAGGGAAAAATTGGGGTTAGCACGCGATTTTTTTTTTTTAAAGGTTGGCGGAGGTTATTGACCGCCGCAAATATAATATATTTATGGGATCGTATAAATTCCCCAATTTGATATAAATTACGGAGGTTATAATAATCGCCGCAATTAAACCTTCGCAAACTCACAATTTTTTTGTAGTGCATCTTCCTTAACCAACATTTTCAAAACATTCAATTTGGTGATTACTTAGTTGAATACTTTCAACTAAGCTAGAAAATGATTCCATAGATTCATTGCATCCTTTAATTTCATTTCTAAGAACACTATTTATCTTTCCCTCATTTTCTCAAAAACACTATTCATGCCATGAACTAGAGTTTATGAAATCAATTATCCAACCATAACAACTTGAAACAAATATTAAATACTCTCACTGACTCATAAGAAATGAGCTTGAAGCATTAGTATTACCTTCTTGAAGCTTTTCCTTGAAATTCCAATATTTGGAAAATTTGGTGTTCTCGAACAACTTGAAAGATTTCTAGGTATTTCAAAGATTGAAGGATGTTAATACTAGTATTAATATGATGTTATTAGCTTAAAATATCAACAACAAAAAAACTCACCTTGTATTCTTAAGTAGTCCCCAAGGTCGAATCCACCATGAAAGAACCAATCCCTAGCTCAAAAAAATCCCCAAAAATGGCTGCTGCCCGTGACAGCCTTATAAAGGTACAGGTGCTTCAGCGAGTTGTACCTTGCGCTGTGCAGGTGGTACCTCGTATTACAAGTTTTGCCCTGCTAGACACCTTTTACTAAAACGTCCATAAGTCCTTGTAGAAATATCCAAATAATGAACGGTTGAAAGCGTTAGAAACTAGACTCGAAGATCTTGCATTTGATAGGTTGTCCACTATATAACTCCTTATATATATATATATATATATAGGCATGCTCGTCCAAAGTTAGGTTTTTGTGTGTACTCATTTGGAACTTTAGTCTATCAAGTAATTTCCAACTTGATTAAGACTTAGGGCTCTCCTTAGACCCTACATCACTTATAATATGACTCGTTCACTTATTAACATACGAACTTGCTAGAACTTTCAAATTCTGATTCCGGGGTCGTTTTCTCAAAATATTGACCGAAGTCAAACTTGCCCTTTTAAGGCTAACTTAAGGAACTAAGTGTTCCGATTTCAACCCAAACACTTCCAAAACCCTAACCAACCATCCCCGAAAGTCATAAATCATTAAAAACATATTCGGGAAGTTTTATTTAGGGAAACGGGGTTCTAAAAGTCAAAACGACCGGTTGGGTCGTTACAAGAAGAGCTTGTTGAATCCTGAGGGATACACCTAATTTTATTTATCACAATATGGCGAAATATCCTTAAGGACAGTGTCCTTGACACGCCTCAAGCTAAACCTTTTATTCTCCATAATCATCCAATTTTTTCTAACAATCTTAAGGATATTATTTCACGATGCTATGGAGAATATCAATTCTGGAATCTCGAGAGATAGATGATAGATGAACAAATTTTATTATTATTATTATTATTATTATTATTATTATTATTATTATTATTATTATTATTATTATTATTATTATTATTATTATAATATTGGTATAATATATCGGTGTTGCTGGTTATACTTTGGCATGCACTCTTGGCAAGTTGTTATTTCAATTTCGTACACTACCGCATTATGAAGATCAAAATGCACCACAAAATTAAGGTACGTTTTTTTTCTAGTATTTGAATGCGCCTAAGCCTACATAAATGTAGACTTTTATTGTTATCCATTTTTTAAAATCTTGATAGCTCTAAGATAGTGAGTTTAAATTGATTCTTCAATTTCAACAAAATTGAGTTTTGAATTTGGTGTGTTATAAATAAAAGCACAATTAATTTCTATACCCAAATCGTATAAGTTCTTTGCTAATTTTATGAGAATGAAAGAATGAATAATTTACTATACATGATAATCATTCATGTCAAATAGAATTTGACAGATCGTTTTTATGGAGGGGAAGATGATGATTAATGTGTTAGATTTTGTAAATCCCCTCTCATCATATTTGAATGTTTTACATATATTTGCTAAAGCATCTCACAATATATTTAACAACTTTTTAAGCTCTTGAATTTTGATGAATCTGGATTTATTCAAATATAACATAACTAGTTTTATTTGAGTCATGAGAATATCAATTTGGTCCTCTAAATAAAGTTATTTAAAATAAATTATAAGTGACACATTAGCTACTCTAAGGTGCTATGAGGTCTTGATCCTTTTGTATGAAAAATAATTAATGTGAATAAACTACTACGATGATGTGATGTAGTCAGAAATAGTACATGAGATAAGACCTTCATATTTTTCTGCATATAATAATGTACACTTATTAGATTATGGGGTTTGCCATCATCCAACATCAATTAAATTAAATTCTCCTTCCCGTTTGTATTTAATATGAAAGTTTAATTTTTTAATTAAATTTCTACATAAGTATTTAAATTATATCTTTATAGTTTTTATTTATTTCTTAAAATTATTGTTTATGTTTTTATTTTTAATTTTATCTATTATATTATCTTTAGTTACGCGATGTTATCCATATAGCATGACCATATGAATTATTATTCAAACAATTTCTTATCTCAAAAAATAAATTAGTTTTATCCTATTATATATTTCTACACTAAAGTTGTTTATTTATTTACTTTTTCTCTCTTTTTTTATAATAGTTTCCTTAAAAATATATAGATATTTAATTATTTTTAATACAAATTCAAAAACTAACTATTTATTAACTAAACTAACTACGTTTGTACTAATACTACAGACTTGTTTGAAACTGTCACGATCCGAAATTCTCACCTTCGGACCGTGATGACGCCTAACATTTCACTTGCTAGGCAAGACAACGTTAGAATAATATTATCCATTTTTAGTTAAAAGAATTTTAAATTTATTAATAACAAGAAAACAAATGTGGAAGCAAAGTTTGAAATATAGTGAAATAATCCATCAAACAACGGTGTCTAAATACCATCCCAGAATTGGTATCACAAGTGCATGAGCTTCTAGAATAAATACAAATAAAGGTCTGAATAAAATAAAGCTGTCTGGAAATAAACACACAGCCAAAGTAGAATAGACGGGGACTTCAGAACTGCGGACGCCATGCAGTTATACCTCAAGTCTCCTCTGAATAGCTGAAATCTATGCAAGTCTACGGTACGCCGGTGGGACCAACTCCAAAATCTGCACAAGAAGTGCAGAGTGTAGTATCAGTACAACCGACCCCATGTACTGGTAAGTGCTGAGCCTAACCTCGACGAAGTAGTGACGANGGGTCACTTACATTACCTGTACGCAATATTAGAAACAACAACAATAATAGAAATAAATCAAGTAACTCATTTATAATAATCGAAGCCAACTCAGCAGTCCTAACCAATTATCATTTCCATCAATTCAGTTGCAGCGTGCAACCCCCTCTCACAATATAGTCATATTCAATTCTATTGAAGCGTGCAACCCGCTATCACAATATATTCATTTTAATCAAGTCTGTTGCGGCGTGCAACCCGATCCCCCATTATATGGACTTTTTAATAAGTCCATTGCGGAGTGCAACCCGATCCTCCAATATTGACTTTTAATAAGTCTGTTGCGGCGTGCAACCCAATCCTCCAATATGGACTTTTTAATAAGTCTGTTGTGGCGTGCAACCCGATCCTCCAATATTGACTTTTAATAAGTCTGTTGTGGCGTGCAACGCGATCCTCCAATATGAACTTTTTAATAAGTCTGTTGCGGCGTGTAACCCGATCCTCCAATATATTCATCATAATCAATCCTGTTGCGGCGTGCAACCCGCTCCTCCAACATATTCATTTACCAATCAATTCTTATAGAAGAAATTTTCCAATAAATATAACAACTAATATAAAATTATAAGACAACAAGCATACAACAATTATGAAACAAACAATGACAAATAGCAAATTATTATAGAAATCAGGGAGAAAATAGGCAGTTTAATATTTACTATGCTAAATGTCAAATAATAATTAAAACACATAAGTCGAATAGCATGTAACAATTAATGTAGGAATTCAAGAATTAATATTTGACAAAGAATAAGAGAAAAATAATTATTATAATAATTACTTTATGATTAAAATAATTTATGATTTTTCAAGTAAGCAAGCAAACAATTAATTTGACGACGTATAGACACTCGTCACCTCACCTATATGTCGTTCACATGCAATTCACATAACAAATAATTTAAGGGTTGTATTCCCTCAAGTCAAGGCTAACCACAACACTTACCCCGCTTTGCAAATTTCAATCAACTACTCAACCACAGCTTTTTCTTTTAAATTTGCCTCCGAAAGCTTCAAATCTATTCACAAACAATTCGATATATTCAATACGAATCATAGGAATTACTCCATATGAATTTACAAATTTTTCGGATAAAATTCAAAATTTATTAAAATATTCGGCAATGGGACCCACGTCTCAAATCCCGGAAAAATTTGCGAAATCCGCACACCCATTCCGATACGAGTTCAACCATACAAAATTTGTCAAATTCCTATATCAAATGGACCTTCAAATCTTAATTTTTTATTTTTGAAAAGTTTCACAAAAATTCCAATTTCTTCCATTTAAATCCGAGATAAATGATAAATATAGACATGAATTTGTGAAATATAATCACTTTTGGTTAAAGAACACTTACCCAATTCAAAGTCGTGAAAATCCCCCTTGAAATTGTCCAAATCCGAGACTTAAATCTCAAAAATGAGTAAAAAATGGCAACTTCCGAATTTATGGGTTCTGCCCAGTCATTTTCGCATTTGCGGACAAAAGTTCCGCATCTGCGGACTCGCATTTGCGCGACAAAGCTCGCATTTGCGATGCCAGGCTGCCAGGTGAAGTTCTGCATCTGTGGACACCCCTGTCGCACCTGCGCATCCGCATCTGCGCAAAAAGGCTGCACCTGCG